GTAGCATTAGAATAGAGGGTGCTAGAGTTAGAGGGTCAAATGGAAGATGTGAAATACACAAGACACTTGACTAACATATTACTAAGCTAAGCACTTAATACACTAATAAAAATGCAAAGAATAATCACAATTCATTCAGCAGAATTAGATGTTAGTGTATTGGTAAGCTAACGACTTCATACTCTAAACATGAAGCACACAGGAGTAGGGCTGTCAAAAAAAAAATTGAATTTCGAATATTCGTTGACTTTAAAATAAAAATCCACATTCGAATGCAAAAACCTCGCATTCGAATTTTAGGTGTGCGTTAAGGAGGCAGCCTTATTAGTGGCGCACGAGATGCGATGACGATGTAAGTGTCGTTGCATTATAATGAAAGCCATGTAAAATTAATGCAAGTTCAACTTTGACAAAACATATCTCGAGACTTTATGGCGAGGTTTTTTCCCCATTCCACTGCAACTTGTTTTTTTAAATGAAAAATGTACTCTGTGTGATTGGCTTTCCGCCTTTTGTATTAAACTATGCATACATACATGATGCTGTTTTGTTTATAGTTGTATATCGTATGCTTTGAATAAACGTGCATTAGTAATCTTTTGCTTGATGCGCCCTCTTGTGGCCTCAGGAGAGAAGCCAGAAGCTTTTCTTTACCCTAACTGAAATTATGCATTTTAAATTTGAATATAATTCGAATTTTGATCATATTTAAGTACAAAATTCGAATTTAGTTTTTCAACCATTTTGACAGCCGTATACAGGAGACATGACCAACATTCATGGTTGATTTACTAGATTTTGATGTTATCATATTGTTACCGTACAGTACAGTTTGATGTTAATGTATTACTAAGCTAATGACTTTATACTCTAAAAAGTAGGAAAAGACAAGCACAAATATTAGGTGAAATAGCGTATATAATACACACACAGTAATACATATTGCTAAGCTAATGACTTTATACTCTAATAAGATTCTCTAATAACCAATATTTGTCTAAGACAAGGATTGGTTAAAATAGCTCACTTGAAGTTCAGAGAAGACTTGACTAACATTCACAGTTTGATGTTTGCATATTGCTAAGCTAACGACTCAGTACTCAGACATTGTGTTCACCGGGCCAGATTCACGAAACATTCTTATGTTTTTTTGTTTTTTTTTTAACTGCTATTTTCTACTTACTATGATTATTACGTTAATCTGCAGGCAGTACCAGAAAGATGGGGTATTTTCCATTGAGTTTGTTTAGGGAATCTTAAGCAGGAGTCTCCATACAATCACATAACACTAAAGCTTGTAATTTTCTTCCTAAGGGAAAAAAAATAAGATTTTCTTAAAATATTTGAGAACTTAAGAATTTTTCAAGAATTGCACTTAAAACCATTCTTATGAACTTATTGGAATTTATCTTAAGAAACTTCTTAAGAATTTTGTGAATCTGGCCCCAGAAAACCAAAAGAAGTGACCTCTGACTTCAAACTGACTTGGGTCCACACCAAAGGATCTAGTGTGACATCTACCCTAAGATAGCACTGTAACTAAAGATAGCACACATACATTGTCTAAAAATGCTGTCTAGGTAGGCAGCTCGCTAAGTTTTGGAACAGAGCCCTAAACATGTGCATACATTTGCGGTTTCATATATTATTCTGTAGGTCTTTGGTGGTGCTTCTCTTTCTCATTGAATCAGTCCGTCCACTCTTCATGTGCAGGATCTGGAAGAGTTCTGTTTCAAGTTTTGCGTTAACCACCTGACAGCTGTCACTCAGACACAGGCCTTCGCTGACATGGACCACGATCTGCTGAAGAACTTCATCAGCAAAGCCAGCCGCTACGGGGCCTTCAAGAACTAACAGAAAGATATAGTTGAAGGAGGTATTCTGCTTTGGCTCTGCAACATCCAGGCAAGTTATCTCAAATACCTCAGATGTGGAGTTAGAGGAGCCAAATTCCTGTGGTTCGCGTGTGAAGAAGTGGGAAAGGCCGCTGCACTGGTTGTCTTCTGGGTCCCAGTGCCTTTAAATTACATGGCCATCTGAAGCCCTATTTAAGCGGAAGAATTCAAGACTGGATTCAAAGGGACCAGACAAGTCTGAAAAGATTGTATTGAAATAGCTAAACAAAAAGAAACCCCTCTGAGGTGCTTTATGAGCAAGGGATTCATCTGTGCATAAGCAAAAGGGAAGACCATCTCATGTAGGAGATGGTTGATGGAGAAAGAGTTGCTTTTCTGTTTCTGAACTATTGTTTTTGGTCAAGACCATATTAATTTGCAATATATTTTATATATATAACAGATTGGAAAGTTACAGTCAGCCAAACACGTTGTCCATCTCATATACATCCATTATTGTCATGATGGCCTTTATAAAGCAGGCCAACAGCCGAACTTCCTGTGGGGTTTCAAAGATAAACCTGTGTCATAGGATATCATGATTTCATATATTATTTTTTTTTTTTCATGCATCAGAAGAAACTTTACACAGTAATATGTCATATTATAGTGGTATAAGCATTATTTTTAAATGTAGTATCAAGTGGCTTCAATTTAATTTACAGATCCAACTAATGTCATATACTTTTGTTGTGTTTGCGCTCTTTCTGTGTAGCAGTATTATTTTGAATATGTCAGAAAGGTCAATGTCTGTCAATGTCATATTAGCACTAACACGAGTGTTCGGGTGAATCTCACAAAAACTCTCTGGGGAACAGTCCAGACCGTATTTCACCCCATAGTGAAAAGAGAAAAAAATAAAGACATTTTGCATAAAGGAAAGCCTGGTTGCAGGACATTTACATTTTCCCCAATTCCCATTACCGTAGGAAAGTAATAACAATATTAATAATAAACAATGCACATATATATATATATATATATATACACATACACACACAATCATCAACATATTAATTTGTTAAAAAAATATCAAAAGTATTAAAATGAAATCAATTTTATTTTAGCAAGATGTTATTGATTTTTATTTTTTATTTTTATTTTTTATTTGGGGTCAAATATGAGCCGGGCATTTCTTCAGTGCTTTTGTTCCTGCAGGCCGTGTAGTTGGGAAATGGTGCCGTCTGGTGGTGTTGATGCAAAACTAATCATGTGCCCATATTCTGTCATTATTGATGTCTTTCCAGCAAAATACTTTTTTATTACCCACAGTTAATCGAGATTCCAGACAGATATTTTTTTATCACTTATTATAGCATCCGCCAACCAACCTAATCATGAAATAGCACTTGAAACTATATATATATATATATATATATATATATATATATATAATTCACGTCTTCTTTTGGAAGGCCAAACAAAGTAGTTTCGCTTTCACAATGAATCACACAGTGCCTTCACGACATGGCGGCGGGAACAACACTAATACAGCGAGAATAAAAGTTACGCCTTCTTTCTTTGCGTGAACATTTGGGCGGCGTTATGCAAATCTTCCCACATAGTGACGTAGACATGTGGGGGCGTGTTAGAACGAGCCGTTTTAGGTAGGCGTGGTTGACTCTTAACTTTTATAAAGAATATCTCTTTGGATTTGAGACTTTAGTCTTTGCAACTTTACAGATCTTCTTTATGCACCAAGAGCTTGTAACACTCCAAAGAGAAAGGAAAAATTGAAATCGCATCATATGACCCCTTTAAGAGGTGTTAAACAACATACTTGACATCAGAGACCGCTTTCACTCTCTCTCACAAGGTCACAATGTCTTCTTGATGGTCAGTTGTTACAATCTACAGTCTGTTCATAATTGTTTACACAGTCAGGGGTTTCTGTTCTGTTGTAGATATTTCTACATGATTTCCTTCTTTAGGAACCCCATAAATGAGGGTCAGGAGTGCTAACCCTGCCCGATTGCCAAGAGAGGGTCTGTTAAATGCTCCCCAGTGGTCATGTTATAAATGGGGACTTAAATAATTTAACATTTGAATAATCTGTTTTAAGATGATACCAAACTTCTTGTTTTCCATTAAGCAAATGTCACACAGCACTTTTTGAATATTTAAATAAATGTCCTGTACATTAAAACTATTGTGTTTTGGAAAAGTTATTACAATTATAATATTGCAATATAAATATTGCACTTGTTTTTTTCTCCACTTGCACAATTTTCACATTTTTTATGTAATAAAGTATAAATTCATTATTATGCATCATAGTGGCTGTATATAATTTATTTCAATATTTGATTTCGTTTATTGAACATTTTTACAGTCTATGGTGTGAACAGCAGGCATTAATAGCAGGGAATGTTGTCACATTATACATTTAAAATTTTAAATAGCCTTACTATTTAAAGTGCAATGCGGATATCTACTCCAACAGACCTATATTTGTGTATATATAATTTATTTTTAACAAAAGATGTATAGATTAGATGCAATATTGAATTTAACGCGGATGAAAGCGATGCGAGGGATAGACTGTCATGTAATGTTCACTACTCACGTCTTTGAAAAATGTTTTATGGAGGTTTTGTCTACTTAAAGTCTTTTCAGAAAGTTTAGTCAGTTAAAAAATCGGTATGTTGTTAAATAACAATCCATTGAACGCATTGCATTTTCATTCCTGTCCAAATGAAACCTTGATACCCTGAGTAAGGTCTGTAGAACACTGTGACTTAAAATTCTCAAAATTTCTGTACAATTTGCTGCTGTAAGACATGTTTTGTGCCTATGAGTGGCGCTCTATGCACATTTAACACATGGGTTGTGTTTTAAAACCTTGTGAGCCGCCTACCTAGACAGCATTTTGGTCATCGCAAGCGCCTTCCGAGACAACAACATTTTTTGAATATCATAGATGCACCTAGTATTTTGTCCAAAACGCTGCTGAATTGCAACGACAACTGACCGAAATCAAGGAAATGATGCACTAAAATGTTGTCTAGCGAGGGAGCTCACTGTGTTTTTGGGACAGCCACATTTGGGCACTTCATTTCTCACCATTCATTTCTGCGATCAGCAGCATCCTGTAGTGCGCTCTCCTCATCCTCACAGCTTGAGTTTTCACTCGTCCTGAGGATGCTGTGCGGAATCAAACACTCATTCGTCTCCTGCATCGGTCGTGCAGCGTTTCCTCGCGGATGCTGAAGATCAGGTAAGACTGTGTGTGTTTGTGGATGATGTGATGGCGCACACTCATCACATCCACCTGCTGTCGTGTGTATCTGCAGCAGAACTCAGTGTGTGCTTCTATCACATGCTATTTATCTTGCGGTCTGAAAGCGGTCGAATCTATCTGCCATATATGTTCAATTAGCACGCATAGACACTGAGTTAATAAATGAGTGAATGTGCTGTATTCTATTATTGAAACATATGATGTTAAATTTCTGCTTTTATTATCATTAATTTTGGTGATTGTATTTACAATACAGTACGTGTTTACAATAATAATCTGATTCATTGTTAATATGTTAGCTACATAATATTAAACACATTTATATAAATATATATAGCCTATACTTATATTAAAATATCACTGTACATTAATACCCTTGTATTTAATTACTAATGTGTAAAAATTGGAGTATCATTAACAATAATAACGAAAATAATGAGAAAATAATATTTATACAACTTTCATAATATATACTTTATATGTGTATTATTAATTTATACATAGTATAATATGTCAGTATTGTTACTATAATGTTACTGTAATATTAGTAATATTTATTACATTATATTGTTATCATAAATGTCATTTTTATGTTATAAAATTAGACCTTTAATTTAATTAGTCTTTTTTGTGATTGTGTACTTGTGTTAGAGCTTATATTTGATGATGATAATAATAATAATAACAATCCGCTACTTACATATTTATTGGAATATTTATTCATATAATGTAATTATATCAATGAAAATTTATTTTTTTCATTACCAATGCATAATAGTAGCTTAATAATTATCAATGATGTATTAACATAGTAATGTTTTTAAAAGTATTGTAATTACATCAACAATATTAATACAAATGCTGCTTTTAAAATATGCATTTTCAGTTTGAGTCCAGTGAGGAAATATGTAGTATGCAGATCCTATTGTGGCTTAAAACCATAATGGTGTGATGTTGTTCCATGTAAACTCTTTCTTTACAACTTTTTTTTTTAAGAAAGGGAAATTGGAAAGGATAGTATAAAAACTGATTGACAGGCTGGTTGTTTAGCATGAAATGATCAAAGATAAGTGACTGTATTCCCTGCAATGCCATCGAAGAATTCTAACTTTTTTCATCAGTTATGAGTCACTTATTCTGATTCTGTCAGCAGATCGTGTTTGCTTAAGACAGCACCAAGTAAAATACATACATAGTATGAATCATAACTCACAGAAGAAGCGAACACGGAGCACACTTTCTGCATTTTGTTTTTGTGTACACTTTGTGTGAGGTTGTGAAATTGAACACTTAAAATCCTTTGAGTCAAGTAAAGGACAATAAATCCCCTCGCACAAAGCTAATGAGGGGTTTGCTTTTGAAAGGGAAAGGAGGCGTGGCCTCTGGTTTCATTTGGATGGTAATATTTAATGAATGCTCCAGCTCTGAGAATGGAAAACGCAGCTTCCATTTGGAGATGCTTGAGAAAAGGGGCTAAAAAAGGATGCACACACATAAAGAAAGACAGATGTAACATGTTTCTCTAATCCAGGTCCCTTCTAGGTTAGCTGGTTGATTAGTGAACAGGTGCAGTGGACATGCTCTGAATGCATCATGGGAAATTAGGGGAATTTCATGCATCTTAATGACTATGACACCAATTTGCCTCTTGAACTTCCTGCATTACTACCAGTAGCGCTGAATGTGTTACATTGTCAGGAAAGAGGAAAAACAATGAGGTGGAAGTAACAAAGACAGTTTCTCATGGCCGTTGGCTGTGGGTTTCATGCTGACACATTAAGGAACATGCTGTGAGTGATTTATTTATACTTCATGTCTGCGACAGAAACTGCATCAGTCGAGAACTGTCTGTCCATATGTCAACCATCTCTCTCTTTTCCTTTCGTTCACTCTGCCTGTACTTAGCATGTTAACACTAAACCATAAAAATGGCCAGTATAGCTGATGTATTTTGGAATTAGCTTGTTTTCACTGCATTGTGAAGATTATTGAACAGATACTGTGATAGATAGATAGATAGATAGATAGATAGATAGATAGATAGAATTTCTATTGTTGCTATCCATGTCATGGCTTTATAGTAGCTGATGTAGTTCGATATTACTCATTAAAACTTTTGTTGTTAACATTTTTTAGTTCACATGACTGACAGTGATCAGTGCATTATGAAATGCTAAGGCATCAATATAGCATGAAAGCATCTGCATGTATTTCTGGCATCAGGACAGCAGAATCACTGCAGGACAGATGCTGCAGACTGCAACGAGAAACTGCATGTGGGATCGCATGTATCGAGTGACTGAACAAAGGAAGCTTCCTTTGTATCTATATTGGGCTAGATCTCTGTCAAACAGTGCAGGTGCAAAAAGAAAATGTACAGAATATATAAACTGACATTTGTATTTAAATAGGCTGCTCTCATTATATGCTAATGCACTTTTGAGTAATTGCACACACAAAATACTAAGTTTACACTACAGTTTCATCATTTTGTCATGGTTCTGACAGCACTGTATTATTTGTAAATGTGTGAAAACCTTAAAACTTAAATACTTGCACTTCAGCACATTCATGCAATTTTAATTTCAAATATATCTTTATGCAGCAATTATTGCAGTCCAAGCACAATGATGAATTTAACCCATAATAAACTCATCATTATAATTCATATTGCAAAACAGTGACTGTGCTGTGTTTTAATGACATTTTTAATATATAATGCACATTGCAGGTTTTACACTGGTATAGCACCATCTTCAACGTGGATGAAATTAAACTTTTTTTCAGTCTGTAGATAGACCCACCAACTTTTGTGTTTGGCCATTGTTAACCACTTCCAATAGCTGTTTGCTGAAAGTTAATACGTTTAAAAAATATATGCTGTTAAGACACTGAATTCAAATGCTAAAGTACTTATTTTAATATATACAGTTCCGGTTCTCGAATCTTGATTGGCAGAGTAGTGTTCCAAGAGTGCTGATAAAAATCCAACAGCACTGGGACATTTCACTGTTTGTATCACTCTGCTTGTCAAGTCACCTTTATTTATATAGCGCTTTATACAATACAGATAGTGTCAAAGCAATTTTACAGTGTTAAACAGGAAAAATGTGTGCTGATAATGCAAGAGGACAATAGAAAACAGTCAGTTTATCAGTTAAAGCCAGTTCATCGTTGATTCAGTGATGTCATCGTCCAGCTCAATTCACTTCTCTTCCAATAGTGTCTGTGCAGTCAAGTCAACAATGTTGCCAGAAATTGTGTCCCCAACTAAGTAAGCCAAACGCGACAGTGGCAAGGAACCAAAACTCCATCTGTGACAGAAATGGAGGGAAAAAAACCTTGTGAGAAACCAGGCTCAGTCGGGGGGCCAGTTCTCCTCTGGCCAGATGAAACTATCATGGTGTGGTTTAATTCCAGGCTGCAATGCACGTCAGATTGAGCAGAGGACTCGTCTGGTTTTCGTGGTCTTGTGCCGATGGCCGACAAGGTCTTCCCAGGGGATCTGTCTCTAGGGTTAATCTAGTTGACATGGTCTCCGGTGACATTCAGGGCTGTAGAGGTCGTCTCTAGGTGCTGATCCACCATCTGGACTGGATCCAGGTGACTGCAGTGACAATCTGATCTGGATACGGACTGGATCTGGGTTGCTACGGTGACCACGGAATAAGAATAAAACAGACTAATATTAGCATAGATGCCATTCTTGTTACGATGTAACAAGTACATCGGGTGTTATTATGGGAAGTGTTCCCAGTTCCGGTTGACCTAATTAATGCAGCTTAACAATCCTTTAACGGATTTGAATTATAGAAAAGTGATAGTGTGTTATGTGTATGCCAGGTTAAAGAGGCATACACATAACACACTATCACTTTTCTATAATTCAAATCCGTTAAAGGATGTGAAGGACAATAATGCGATGAGAGCTCGTTCAAGTACTGAGGAGCTAAACCATTCAGGGCTTTATAAGTAATTAGCAAGATTTTAAAATGTATACGATGTTTAATAGGGAGCTAGTGCAGCGACTAAGATGCAAAACCGGGCTAATTTGGTCATACTTCCTGGTTCTAGTAAGAACTCTAGCTGCTTTTTGGACCAGCTGCAGTTTGTTTATTAAGAATGCAGAGCAACCACCTGTCGCATATCAGGTCCCTGCAGTTCCTCCCACTCTCCACAAGAGATCTCATCACCTTTTCACCCCAGACTCCATTTCACATAACCCTCTGCCCTGGAACTGATTACGAACACACCTGTTTCCCATTAGGAGGACTATTTAAGTTGCACACTCACTCACACACACTTGGCTGAGTATTGTTGTTCTGTAGCTACATTCCTAGCCTTTCCGTGTCTCCATGTTTTTCTGGTTCCTTAGTTTTGCCTTGCCTGTGTTTTACTCTGGACTGTTTCCCTGGTTTGTGATCGTTTGCTGCCTGCCCTGACCATCGTCTGTTGTTTGGATTGCTCTTTTGTTTGCCCTGGGACATTGTTGTTAGCTAGTGTTTTGACCCTGCCTGTCTCGACTACGCTCTCTAATAAAGCTTGCATTTACTTCGTTGTCATGCCGTCCGTTACACCACCCAATAAAGCATTGCAATAATCTAACCTTGCGGTCATGAATGCATGAATTAATGTTTCTGCATTTGACAATGAGAGCATAGGTCATAATTTAGATATATTTTTAAGATGGAAAAATGCAGTTTTATAAATGTTAGAAACGTGACTTTCAAAGGAAAGGTTGCTATCAAATAGCACACCTAGATTCCTAAATGATGACAAAGAATTGACAGAACAGCCATCAAGTGTTCTTGATTATTACATGCAGAGGATTTTGGTCCAATAATTAACACCTCTGTTATTTTCAGAATTTAGCAGTAGGAAATTACTAGTCATCCAGTTTTTTATATCAGCTATGCATTCTGTTAGTTTTGCGAATTGGTATGTTTTGTCGAGCCATGAAGAAATGTATGTTATGC